TAGGGCGTGGCCATCAGTCAGGGAAGGCACTATATAAGCTGCCCTGGAACACAATAAAGTTGGCATCTGACTGACCTCATCCCACTTTTTCAGGGTTCCTCCAAAGACGGTCCAGAGACACCCGAAAGAGCCCAAACTTAGATTCTATGATGAGAGCGAGGTGTTTAAAGCTCCTTATGAACAAAGTGGAAAATTGCACATCCAAAGACAGAAGCTAGATAGCTCGGAATGTAGCTAACCCATCATAGCTACGCTTCGTGTTTATACAAAAGCCTTAATTGCTCAGCTTTTAAAAGATTTTATTTGTAACCATATGTATGTGTGTATGGATGTGCACTTGAGTGCACCTGCAGACACCAAAGGCATTAGATTCCCTGGAACTGGAGATACTCGTGGTTGTGGGCCACCGGATGTGGGTGCTAGGGACCAAACGCTGGCCCTCCACATGCACGGCCCTCCTCCCCACCCTGAGCCATCTCTCCAGCCCCTAACCTGCTTGCATTTAAACAATGAACCTGAAATAGTCACTGACTTTCAGAAAACACCCACACTGAGCACCACTCCCTGAGACGGTCACACACTTCCAATAGGGAGTGAATTTAAATCCCATCATTCCGCTGCCATTTCTCGGCTCTGCTCCTGAAGTCCCAGCCGGCTGCGGCAGCACCAGAGTCAAGTGTGATCTGAGATACCAGGGAGGGGGGCTTTCGTCCACGCCTGATGGGAACCGAGGCCTGCTGCCCCTGTGTGCTGGGAAGATGAGTGGGCTTTTAAATAAAGTTTGCAAGCATCATGTCCTGCTCCCCAAGAACGTTATAGTCAAAGCAACCCTGAAGATGGTGCTTTATTCTAGACTTGGGGATCAGAGTACGCAGGGTTCTTGGGCTTCCTAGCAGACAGAACCAAAAGCAGCAGGAGCTGGCATACCTGTACAATTTTAATTTTGCTTCTGCCACCGTTACTGACACTCGACAACAAAAACTCCACTCTTGGCTATCAGTAGTGAGGTTAGGGCTTTATGTTGCGGGGAGTGGGGTTTGTGTTTTTGTTTGTCTGTTTTCATTTCTTTGTTTTGCTTTGAAAGAGGCTCTGTAGAAGTCTATAGCACTTCCGAGGCAAATTTATAAGGCAACATTTTACAACACTAGATTTTTCAAAGACCTGAACAGCCCACGAACACATGGACCTAGAACCTGAAGCTTTTCAACTCCAAATGCTGTGCCCATTTTCCCAAAGCAAGGCGCCTGCTTGGGAGTCAGACCTCACATCCAGTCCCCGAGTCTCCGGACTCATGACTCCAAGATTAGCCTGCACCTCATGAGTGAAACCAGTCTGGAGAAAACTGGGGACGTCTCGAGCTCAAATGTTCCTAAATTAGCAACCGGTGTGCAGGGCAGGGAGCTAAGTTTGTGCTCTCCGACTGTGCTGATGCTCAATAAAGGTGCAAAGTACACAGCCTACGCTAGGATACAGGAACTATTTAATACTACAATAATTTAGAATGTCTGTGTGTAAGGCCCCTGACTGAGCACCTGAGTGGCCAGGCCCTTGCAGAACTCTATCAGGCTCCACCCACAGAGCACTCTAAGGCAGCAAAGGCTGGACCCAGAGCCTCCAGACTCCGGTGGCCAAGCTCTCTCTGCCCTAGAGAGTGAAAAGCCTGAGCTCAATTCTGGGGCTTAAAAACCCACCAATGCCTGAGTTCACTCCGAGCTCAAGACTACAAATCCCACCAATCCCCACCCTGGCAAGCTCCACCAACAAGAAAACGTCCACCAGTGTTCTCTACCTTCCTAATGTTGGGACACTTTAATATAGTTCCCCCTTGATATGTTGGAGTGACTCCCCATGAAAACAAAATCATTTTCATTGCTACTTCATAACTGCAATCTTGCTACTGTCATGAACTGTAATGTAAATACGCGTTTCCCAAAGGTCTGAGGTGGCCCTCGTCAGAGGGTTGCTCAATTCCAAGGAGCGATGGACAAGTTGAGACCCACTGCCCTGCCCAACACCGTCTCCTGCTTAGTTCTTTGCTCTTTCTCGCCTGAGCAGAGGCAGCCACCCTCTTGCATCTTTCCCTAGGAATCTCTTGTGTGAGGTTTATTGTGCCATGTGACTTTGTGGTGTTCCTTGGATCCTGGCTGCCAGGACACCTCTCTCCCTCAGAGCTGTAATGCATGCAATGGGGAATCCTTTCCTCTCACAACTGCAACACTCACAATCTGTACATTTTTAGGACACACCTTTTCTAAACATTTCTACCCCATGGTTGGCAGAATCTATGAATACAGAACCTAGGCACCCGAAGGACTGACTGTATTTATCAAACAGATATCAGTTTGGAAATACCTGCTGGAGCTAATCCATAAAAGTCATCCCCTAAGCCGGGCGGTGGTGGCGCACGCCTTTAATCCCAGCACTCGGGAGGCAGAGGCAGGCGGATCTCTGTGAGTTCGAGGCCAGCCTGGTCTACAAGAGCTAGTGCCAGGACAGGCTCCAAAGCTACAGAGAAACCCTGTCTCGAAAAAATAAAAAAAAATTAAAAAAAATAAAAATAAAAGTCATCCCCTAAAGCAGCAATAAAATGTCCAGATTTTATTGTCTTTTTCCCCTCGTGATCCAAAGGAGTCACAGAATGAAAAGGGGTTCCTAGACTAACCAATAACATGTTCCCTACGTGCAATGGCTCCAGAAGGGTAGACTGAGATGGGAACTGGTATCTCGGCTGTATGTACAACGGGAAGGCAAAAGGCCTGACTTCCTAGTTAACTAGGGTCAGGGTCAGGGACACATGACAGAGGACAGCTATTATCTGACTTGGCTTTTTGGTGTTTTACTCCTTCGTTTCACAGGGCTCCAATCAGCTCCCAGGCCCAGCCCTAACTCATACCTTTACCATCCCCCTTCCTCTAATCCACACTAAGGCAAGAATCCTGCTAAAGAAGGCAAATCAGTGTTCACACAACTTTTATTTATTAAAAGAAAATCACTTCCCACAACCCCCAAGGAGATGCTGCCAAACAGCCTGCTGAACGGTAGTTCTGAAAGCATCTGTTGGTTAAGTTCATTCAATCTTGTTTGACCATCCAGCTGACCTTACCCGAGATGATACCATGCAGCCCTTCACCATACTACAGTTCCTACAGCACAGCCAACTGCGTCAGACAAGTTGATTGATACACAGGTGTAAACGGAATAAAGGGATGTTCTGAAATGAGATGCCACCTTCACCATGGCAGAGTAGAGCTGGAGGCTGAGTAGGTTATCACCCACCCCCGGCAGGGCATTTCCAACTGCATAAATTCAAATCAAAAACACATTAAACTCACAGGATTTCAGATTAGATGAAACCACTAGATAAATGTGTGTATATATGTGTGTGGGGGGGGGGGGAGATTTCCATATTCTGTGTTTTAGCTAAAATACAAGTCCTGCAAACAACTGAATGGAAGAAGACACCATCTTGGGGCTGAAGGGATGACCTGGTCGTTAAGAGCACTTGTTGTTGCTCTGGTAGGAGACTAGAACTCACGTCCCAGTACCCATGTGGTGGATCCACCCGGATCTGTAACTCCAATTCTACGGGATGAAATGCCCCACTTCTGACCTCAGGAGGCACCAGGCATGCCTCTGGAACACATACATACGTACATACGTACATATATACACACATGTAGGCAGAACAGACAGTTTTTTGTTTTGGTTTTTTTTTAAATAATTTTTTAAAGTATCATACAAAACAGCAACATTACGACAGCTAAAAGCAATGTTCCATTCCCGGCAAACTGCTTTAGGATAAGTTATTATGCATCGGCAGCCAGGCTTTTCGTTTCCGGATAGGCCTCGATGCTCTCTTCAATTCTCGGTTCTCTACCTGTCCCTTGAGCAAACCGAAAATTGTATCTGAACAGTTTCGATAATGGACTGTTCTATTCTCAATGCTGCAATTCCCCAACGGCCATTCATTTTAAACAAACCTCACAACGTGAAAGAGAAAACACCACACTCTCCTCTCAGTACCAGGTGGGTCCCTTCTCTAGAGGGACGCAAGTTCCCTGTGAGGTGTCAACACTTCAAAGAGCACAGACCCCACCCCCCCACCCCCCCTGCATCTGCCTGGAACACCCAGAGCCAAAACACAAATATTCTCTGGGTGAAGATTGCAAATTCCACTCGTGCTACCTCCGAAAACAAACGGTTGGGCAATGTCTTCCTTGGCAGTCGCCTTTCCTAAGAAAGCAGCCGCTTCTCCCAAAGGCTGGCAGTATGAAAAATAAAACCTACTCAGTTCAAAATCAAACCCTGCCTTTTAGTCTTGCGGTCACAGCCACCGAATACAGCCATCTGTGCTTGCTGCTGACATCATCCTTTCCACGCTCCTCCATCTAGTATTTTCTTTAAAATGCTTTGCTGGTTCACTCGGATCTCTTATTAATTCCGAGGCCTTAAACCTTGGGAGTTTTCTCCTTCCTCTTGCCAAAATCTTCCATTCCCTTCCTAGGGTCCATTTTGCCCGCCATCCCTCCCCAGGAAGCACTCTCCTACCCAGGGGACCACCGGCCCTTTCCTGCCAGGAATGTGCGTTCCTCTGGGCCTGCTGCGGGTCCACCAGCGCGCTGACACTATTCCCAAATTCTCCTCGGCCACAGTGACAACCAGGCCACACACACCCCCCACCGCGCGCCCCCCCCCCGCCGCCAGGCTTACAGCGCCCGGGGCCTGGCTCGCCACGCGCACCGGAGCTCTTCCAAGCGTCCCGGATTCCCGGGTGCCTTGTCCCCGAGCCTCGAGAGTCGGCCGAGAGCAGCCGCGGTGGCCGGGGCCCAGGGCGTGGCAGCTCGCCCTGGTGAGGCACTCCACCGAGGAGCGACAAGCGACCGACCAGAGGAGCTTTGGGCCCGGCAGCCCGGACCCGCGGTCCCTAGAAGGCTGCGCCCCGAGAGGGCCGCTCCGCCGCCGCCCAACCGTCTTTCCCTGCACGCCCGCCCCGCACTCACCTCGGCGAGCCGCTGGCACCCGCTGCGATGCTGGCCGCGCTCGCTTCCTGCGCGTGGACAACAGGCTCCCCGCAGCCGCACGCACGCCCGGCGCGCGCCTCCTGCACGCACACGCGCGCGCGCGCGCGAGCACCCGGCACCCGCAGCCCGGAGCTGTCCTCGCCACCGTTGTCGGCCACGGCCACGGCCACGGCCGCGGGCGCTGGCATCTCCGCCGCAGGCTCCGGACTGAAGTGCAGATCTGCTTAAGACGCCCTGCTCCGTGGCACGTGCCATCTTCCACTAGCTGCCTGAAACGCTTAGCCAAAGGGCGGGACTTCATCCCAGGGCTCACTGGGAAAGAAGAAGCCTGGGCAGGATTTCGGAGTGCGGGGAATGAAAGGTTGAGGACACTCCTGGTGCCTTAGGTCCCTGTGGGTAGGAGGCTCAGGGAGTCAGTCGCTGGCACGCAGCCCGCACCCCCTCACCCCCAAATGCTTCCAGAAACAGTTCATTCCTATGGACACTTAATCATCTACCGCTCTGAGTCGTCCCCACCCAAATAGTGCCTCCCTCGGGGAGAGGAGGGGAGGGGAGGAAAATAAAGGGAGGGAGGATAAGGGAGGGAACAGGCTTTGGTCAAGAGAGCTGGGTGTTGCTACACTGGCCCTGCTCATTCCGTACTTTGGGTGGAGGTGGTTCCATTCCAAAATAAAACTTCCTGGGGTTTTTGTTTTGTTTTTTGCCAAAAGGCCCCTTCAGTAGAGTCATCTGAAAACAAAGACTCATTCTGGTGCCTCGGCTTTAGAACCATAGATGGCTTGACCTCCCTCCACCGCAAAGGGAAGAATTCATTCTTCAGTGCACACCTACATACCTGCATGCAAAGTTCAACAGCTTAACACTCTACAAGAATGGCTTTCCCGCTCTTTCCTGGATGCTTCAGACGGCACTTCCTAAACTAACGACTTCTACCAGACCAGATCAGCATTATTGCTTTTGAGAAACTAGAGATCTCTAAAGTCACCTAGAATGGATACCATAGTCAAGCTTTCCCAGTTGTGGATAAGTCACAGGGGTTTCCTAGGAAGGTGATCTTATAAAGGTTGGAATATTGCCTCAATGAATCTCCCTGGTTTTCCTCCATGACAGTACTTTTGGAAGTTGTGTGTCTCATGTTTTGCCTTCCTGGCATGATTTTAACTTACCTTTAGCTCTAGAGTTTAAGCTGGTTCTTGAGCCACAGGCTGGTTGCAACAGTAGGACTCCTTCATGCAGCCCATGGTGCTCTTCATATTGTTTCCCATGGGGGACAATATGAAATCTTCAGCACTATCCCGGCTGTCTCAAAACTGCTACCGCTGAAGTAAAGAGCGGTGTTTTCCAATTTTTTTTCCATTATAAGCAAGGGTGGAGAGTATTTCTCTTTAGTGGTGTCAGAGACCAGCTTCAACAAAATGGGGATCAGGAAAATAGCAAAGAGGAAGAAGACACAAGTGAAAATAACAAAACAAGGGCTGGAGAGATGGCTCAGAGGTTAAGAGCGTTGCCTGCTCTTCCGAAGGTCCTGAGTTCAATTCCCGGCAACCACATAGTGGCTCACAACCATCTGTAATGGAGTCTTCTAGCTTGCAGACATACACACAAAGAGAATATTGTATACATAATAAATAATAAAATATTTGGAAAAAAAAGTTTAAAAAAAAAGAAAATAACAAAACAAGACATAGGATAGGAGGGAGTTCCAGTGAGTACGCATCTGTTTAATTTTACACCCCAACACAACAGGGGAGGAAGACAAAAGGCTGCTTTAACATGATACAAAGGACAGTTAATTAGAACAGTTATTTGCTTTAATACTTTGAGACATCAAGTCATTAGCATTCTGTTGTTTAGGCAGTGAACCCACCCTAGACCGAGTGTCCTGAAGGCAATCACTCCCAAGGTCAAACTTCCTATTTCAAAATAAGGAGCAGAAGTAGGCTTGAATTTCCTGACCAGGTCAGGGGGTGCAGCCACACTCGTCAACAACTTTGAACAACTGAAACTCTCTGACCTTCAGACAAGGTGGAAATAGGCTCCCGTCTTTGGGTCTCCACAAGTGGTTAATAGGTAATTTGTCAAATGAAGATTTCAAAAATTCTTGGGAGGGCCGGGCGATGGTGGCGCACGCCTTTAATCCCAGCACTCGGGAGGAAGAGGCAGGCGGATCTCTGTGAGTTCGAGACCAGCCTGGTCTACAGAGCTAGTTCCAGGGTAGGCTCCAAAGCCACAGAGAAACCCTGTCTCGAAAAAGCAAAAAAAAAAAAAAAAAAAAAAAAAATTCTTGGGAGGACAGGGCTTTAAACGCCTTCAGGACTTGAGAGTACTTAAGACTAATGTGTAGATAACGCAGTCACCCTCCCAAAATGGTCAGCTAGGACTTGTAGTGGCCTGTCCTTTAGATGAGCTGTGACAGTTTTAAGTATGAAAATAATCATCAATCCGGGCGGTGGTGGCGCACGCCTTTAATCCCAGCACTCGGGAGGCAGAGGCAGGCAGACCTCTGTGAGTTCAAGCTAGTTCCAGGACAGGAACCAAAAAGCTACGGAGAAACCCTGTCTCAAAAATAAAATAAAATAAAATAAAAAGAAAGAAAGAAAAGAAAAGAAAATCAACCATCAAGAGTGTATTTTGCTTCATTTAACCAATCCAGACAATGTCAGAGGCACTGGGGCCAAATCAGTGGCTAAGGCAGGCCAAGGCCTTTGAGAGTCAGTCCCGCACAGGATGATCTCTGCTGAGCAGACTTGCCGTGGAATTGTGGAGATGTGGTGGGAGAGTCTTCATAAGCAGAACCCTGTCCACACCACTGAAACCCTACCGACACTGCTGAACAAACCAGCTCTGATCATTTGTCCCTTTTCACATGGTACTGTGACTTTTCTATACAAGGAATTGTGACATCAGTCATGAGACTTTGGAAACAAGCCCATGTACTTAGATACGTAGCATAATAACCCTCTAGGTTTTTCTGGCACCTATGACGTCAGGTAGCCTAGCAGGAGGTAGATCAGAATTGAGTTGAATGCTAGCTTTCCTTCCAGAGTCCCAGAGCTCTCTGTCTTTTGTGCAGTTGGGGCCTCTTGATAATACCTGTGAATACTTCTGCTAAAAGCAGTGATGTTCTGTAGGATCATGTGATGTATGTTTTAAGATTTTACAAAATCTTAGCCAGATATGATGGTACATGCCTTTAATTCCAGCACTGGGGAGGCAGAGGTAGGCAGACCTCTGTGAATTTGAGGCTAGTCTTACCAACAAAGTGAGTTCCAGGACGGCCCGGACTGTTGTGCTATCTTGAAAAACCAAAGAAAAAGGGGGTGGTGGTGGCAAAATCCAAGTGTTTCCTATATTAACTTAGGCATGTAAGGTCAGCTTTCCCATATCTATTTTCAATAGCGGAGAGAAATCAAGACTATGTAATCTTTACCTTCAATCATCTGGTCTCTGACTTATGTCAAAAATACTTCCATTTGCCGGGCGGTGGTGGCGCACGCCTTTAATCCCAGCACTCAGGAGGCAGAGGCAGGCGGATCTCTGTGAGTTTGAGGCCAGCCTGGTCTACGAGAGCAGCTCCAGGACAGGCTCCAAAACCACAGAGAAACCCTGTCTCGAAAAACCAAAAAAAAAAAAAAAAATACTTCCATTTAAACTCTCTCAAGTTCTGCTAGGCAAGAGCTCTGCCAAGTGTGCTGTAATGAACAATGACCATCTCCCCACTACAAGGGAATACTCAAAAGACATTAACAAGGACAGTTTTTCCAGTCTAAATCATTGGCTGTTATTAGTGGTTTTCACTTGTGCAAGCAGATTATATTTCTACACTTACACTTGACAATTGATCTGAACGTCATCAAAACCAACGATCTAAGAGCTGAAGCCAAGCTGAAAGATAACAGCGAGGCAAGTGTCATGTGTTTCTGGGAAGGTGGCTCAGTTGGAAAATGTGCTGTGCAAGCAAGGGGAACTGAGTTTGATCCCAGATCCCACTGGGAAGCAAAGACTGGCAGAACACGGGAAGCTTTCTTTCTAGTCTAACCTAATCAGTGAGCTCCAGGCCAGCAAGTAACCCTCCTCAAAAAAACAAAACAAACGAACAATAAGACAAAGGTGGGCAGTGCCTGAGGAACACTACTTCTGGCTTCCTTGTATACCTGTATCCATGTGAGTGCACACACACACACACACACACGAGTCATGTAGCAAACGTTTTAGCACATTCTAATGATCAGAAGCAAGCACAAGACTGTCCGAGATTGAAAGTGAAAGGACTAGGCAAGGACATCATCACCAGATGAGGTTAGGGTTTGGGACACAATTTGGAAATCAGATATCATACTGTCATAGGCAAAACCAAATTCAGATGGGGAGAACTGATTATCTTGTCCCTTTGCTCAAAATCAACACACGGTCCATTTCGTTCTCGCTTGGCTCGGCAGTTTCTTTACTGTTCTTTACTGCAAGAGAAAAAAGGAGAATGAACACATTTGAAATCTTTGTGGTCATCAGAAAGTTTTCTGAAAACAGGGATTGAACTGAAGGTTGAAGTGGGAATACAGCAAAAGTAAGTTTAAACATTGGCAGCGTAAGCCAGGACTTCGTTGGCATAGTGTAAGGACTCGGATCTAAATCACAGTTGTGATTCTTTGCTTAGTTCCAGGCTTAGTAGGTAGCTGTGCCCTTTGCAGAGAGTAAAGTGGTTGCTGCCCTGCTACACAGTCATCCATCACAGCCGTTCCTCACCCATCGGGGTTGACAGCTCACCTCACAGAGGCATGGTCTATTATTGACAATGTAGGCAGGCTCCATTGCAAACGGGTTAATATACTGAAAAAGGGATGGACCTCAAGATATTAACATTAAATTTTTACTTTTTGGAAACTTACAGCACCACCTATTTCTAAAGTGCTTTTAATGATCCATGAATAACTAGTAAGTGCACTTCCAGAATGCTCTACAATGCAAAGACTCTGGGGTTTCAGATGAGGAGAATTAAGTTCTCAAAATATGTGAGAAGACACTCACAACCTAAGATGTCTCTCTCTCTCTCTCTCTCTCTCTCTCTCTCTCTCTCTCCCTCTCCCTCTCCCTCTCCCTCTCCTGTACTTATAGCATCTAACAGCTGGGGATTCAGCTATCCATGCTCAGAACAATCCGTCCCAAAGTTTAGCTGCCTATACAAATATGAATTCAATCTGATGAT